GTTTGAATATGGTAACTAAAAATGTTAGAATCAAAGGTATAGTGGTCTATTGGTAACACAAATGAGTTAGTTTCTTTGTGTCCAGGTTCAAAACTCTTTGGTACAGAGAATTCATTAAATTGGAATATCTAAAGGCTGATTCCAGATATCGAAAAGATTATGAGCCAAAGATTCAGAATTCCCACGGTCTATAAAAAAATATAAAAGTGTTAACTGTTTTAAACGGAAGAATTAGCATTTACGTTTACAAATATTGTTGGTGTTGTTAGATCTCGTCCGTCGGATGTATAATAACGACAAGCTCAACAAACAAACAAAAACAAAAATTACTAGTACATTCATACTATAAAAGCGATAAGGGTTACTAACAACAGATCTTTGAAAATAGCAAGTCATCTAAAAAACGATATAATATAGAATAAAGCGGCTAAATCACAGGAGTTTAATGTCCTTAAGCAGTATAAACATAATTATCTTCATCACCATAGGTCCATAACATATATATGCATATAGACATCTGGTTGGTGTGTACATAAGTTGTTATGTCATAGAATGGATGACACCGGTTTAATTAAATAGGGTGCACTAACACACTCATTGGTTTTCCAATTATACTTTTTAATTACATAATTACTATAGTATTAAACATTTAAAATGGTGAATGAAGTTTATTTTTCTTTGTTAAAGGAGAATGGTGAATAAAGTACTAAGAAACTTCATTGAAAGGGACGATTTATGTTCATTGGTAGTGGTTTTATACTTATACCACCCAATAATTAGAGGGCTAAAGCATATATTAAGCATTGATTTACATGCACATAATTGATGATTAGTGTTTCCAAAGCATCGCGTGGACGACACGAGCCAATAAAATGGGAACATTATGCAAATAAGGGGTTTACAATTTGACCACAACAAGTATGAAATGTCGGCAGTTGATTGGGGAAATTACTCTTTTGTGTATGGGTGGGTCTAATCCAACCTTAGTGGCGCATTATTATAACCTCTATATCTATTCTATATTTTTATATTCCATTAACCTATAGACGAATATATATGCACAAACACAAACACAACACATTTAAACTCATATACATCGTATTTTATCTTGAGTAGAGAGCTCTCTTATCCGTTCGGTTAAGCGGTTAGTTCTCATCAACATCTAACAAATAAAATTTGAATGGTAATGAAATAATATAATAAAATCCTGAAAGTGAAACGAACCATTGTTCCTTCACATGTGTGGGTCACGTGCGAACCTAGTCCTAATCCCATCAACAGATACATGCATGGTCAGTGCATTGTGCATATCCACAAACTCTCAAGTAATAACAGTGATTATATAAATGTATAATGCGTTTTCTTTTTCTAATAATGGCTAAAAAGGTTGTGCAATTAGTTAGCTGTCTTATAAATATAATTATATAAAAAAAAATATGAATGAGGAAGTATCTGTTGTGTTTTGTCAAGTCTTCACAGGCCACGTCCTGGTCCATAAAAAAGGTTGTGCATGACAAGCTGTGTACCATTTTCCTTTTATTCTTTTGTCTTCCATTAAAATATAAAGGTCAAACATTTGAAATCTTAAGAGTCGAAGACCAAACATTTGAAGTCTTGAAGGTTAAACGTCACGATGTCAATCGAGTCATGCAGGTTAAAAGTTAAAACCCCATGTCTAATTCGCAGGTCGATCTATTGGCGGATATTTTTCAACTATTAATGAGAAAAAAATTTATATAAATATGCATATATAGAATTACATGATCTATAACTTCAAAATGTTTTGTCACACCACATAACTCGCGAGTAACTTAAGGTTGACAAGTTAGAACTAAGTATAACTCAAACAAGAAATAAACTTTAACAAGATAGAACTCAATTAAACCACACTATGTACGAAACGAAGGGTATGTTTATAATATCAAAAGAGAGGTATACATATAGTTAAATGTTAACCAAGTGGTAGTGGGTTAGTAGTTCATTTGAGAAAAAAATTGTTATGTGGATCTAGGCCGTGGTTCAATTTTCTTCAATCGTGGAATTATCTAACCACTTCCATTTGGCCAATCGAAGTGGTGCTACGATTTCGGCCCATTAGCAAACCTGGTAAGTGAGCTACTCGACGGCTACACTCATTCTAAGGAGATTAGTCACGTGGTAAAAGTCTGGATTACCCCTGTTTTACAAAAAAAAAAGTTAAATCTTTGTTAAGCAAAAAAATGATTAGTTAAATCTAATAATTATAGAAAGTTTCTTAACAAATT